TCGCCAGAGATGCAGACTTCCTGAAAGGCAACGACAGTGTCCTCAGGTGGGCCCTGAGCTGCAGAGGGGGACACGGTGGGAAGCTGGGAGGAGAGGGGAGTGCGTTCCGATGGGGGTGGTGCTGTATTCGGGCGAACGCCCCTCCCCTCCCCGTGTGCGACACCTGGTTGCCTTCCCCCTTTTATCCTCTCAGCGGCTCTCGGTGTCTTCCTCGCAGAAAGGGGGGGTGGCAGACAGGAGGACCCCCGCCAGGAGCTCTGGGAATGCACTTTGCCTAATGGACCTGTCGCCTTGGCTGGTTCCCTCTCCCAGCCCATCTGTTCCTCCTCCCCAGCAGACAGCACACGGCTGCTTCTGTGACAGCTCGGTTATCACCTCAGGGTTGCAGCCCCTTGGGGGTTGGGGAGAAAACTCCAAAGCAGAACAGATCTGGCACAACCGGAAGAGGCTGGCTGTTGGTGGGAACCCTCTCTGTGTCTGCCTTTCCCTCACAACGTGGCCGGTCATGGTGTGGACTCTTGCTGAGTAAACCACTAACACCCTCCACTCAGTGCCCCGGACGCCAGGCCTTGCGTGAACTGTTGTAGGCAGTCCTCCCTGCAGCCGCCAGGAGGGGGCAGTGTGGCTGTCCCCATTCCACAGGTGAAGGGGAGGGTGACTTGCTCAGGGCCTCGCAGCTTTGGCTCATGAGGCAGGGGGTGTGTTGGTACCCAGTTCCTAAGCTCACCGAGGCCTGTCGGGGACCATGGAGGGCCTGCCTGACTGCCCCCTCCTCTTTCAGTCCCCCCCCTACAGCTCAGGGAGCTACGATTCCATCAAGACCGAGGTCAGTGGCTGCCCCGAGGACCTGACTGTGGGCCGAGCTCCCACAGCAGATGACGACGACGACGACCACGATGACCACGAGGACAATGACAAGATGAACGACTCGGAGGGCATGGACCCTGAGCGCCTCAAGGCCTTCAACGTGAGCACCGGGTCGGTCCGGCGGGCGGGGCCGCAGCCAGGGCCAGCCCTCCCACCGCCTGTCTCTCCCACAGATGTTTGTGCGTCTCTTTGTGGACGAGAACCTGGACCGCATGGTGCCCATCTCCAAGCAGCCCAAGGAGAAGATCCAGGCCATCATCGAATCCTGCAGCCGGCAGTTCCCCGAGTTCCAAGAGCGGGCCCGCAAGCGCATTCGCACGTACCTCAAGTCCTGCCGGCGCATGAAGAAGAACGGCATGGAGATGGTGAGCCCTCCCAGCCCAGCCCCCCCACTCACCTCCAGCTACCCTCCGGGATGGCTGGGCATCCCCTTGGCCAGACACTTTACCCATCATCCTCCCAATGTCCCAGGAGCCGCACCATGATCCGTTTCACAGCGTGGGGAGCTGGGGTCCCTAAAGAGGCCCCGCTCCATAGATAACGGCCCTGAAGCCTGACCCCGGCCCTCCACCAACACCTCTAGGGCAGGGTCTCTGTGTGGGCCCAACACTGCCCTGTTCCCATTCTGCCTGCAGACCAGACCCACACCTCCCCACCTGACCTCAGCCATGGCCGAGAACATCCTGGCAGCTGCCTGTGAGAGCGAGACGAGAAAAGCAGCCAAAAGGATGCGCCTGGAGATCTACCAGTCCTCGCAGGTACTGCTCGCTGCCGCCACTGTCAGGGGGTTGCTTCCGGGCGGGTGGACATCAGTCATTCCACAGACATTGGGGCCCCCAGTGCAGAGGGACCAGGCGGACCTACCAAGAAGGCAGCAGTGATGGAGTGGGATGGGGAGAGCTTGGGCACCCAGGCCCTGAAGACCCAGGAGGGCATCTGGGCTTCATCCCGAGGGCCCTGCGTGAGACGACCAGGGATGGGAACAGTCCTGCAGGACACAGCACTGTGTCTCAGAAACTCTTCATCCACCCCGTCCGGCTTGCTGCCCCTCTGGTTCCTCAGTATCTCCCTCCCCCCTGCAGGACGAGCCCATAGCCCTGGACAAGCAGCACTCCCGGGACTCTGCAGCCATCACCCACTCCACCTACTCACTGCCAGCCTCCTCCTACTCCCAGGACCCCGTGTATGTCAATGGCGGCCTCAACTACAGTTACCGCGGTTACGGGGCCTTGGGCAGCAACCTGCAGCCCCCTGCCTCCCTGCAAACAGGAAATCACAGTAATGGTGAGTGAAGGAGGCTACGGCCTCGAAAAGGGGGAAAAGTAACTCCTTCATGGCTCAGGGACCCTTCCCATCTCATCATCTTAGCCAGTCCCTCGATAGGAAAGCAAGGAAAACTTCAACTGAGTCAAACAAAAACCCTCCCCCCTCCCCTCTCCTCCCCTCTCCAAGGAGGTGTGCTTTGTTCATTGCACTGTGGGCCTCTCTGCCCCGCCCCCCTCATGGCCCTGTGAGCTGAGCACTGCAGTCCATCCAGCCAAGGCCCTGCTCTTTATCGAGTGGAATCCTCTCCACACCCCCATTTTACTTCCCTGACCAAGGCTCAGTGAGATGGTGGAGCAGGACTTGGTGCAGGCCTGGCCCCATTCACTTGTAGCCTCAGCTCCGGACCTTACTTGTGAGGCGAAGGTCCTTACCCTCCGATGCAGGGCCCAGCCCGGGGCCATGAGTCCCTAGGTGCTCCCCTATAACTCTTCCCAGGCGACTCTGAGGCCGCCTAGCCCTAGACCAGTGTTGGAGAAATATCCTTGAAAAGGTAAAAACCTCCCCATAGAGGTAGGTGCTCCCGAGTGGGACCTGGAGCGGAGAACTCAGGCCCATGCCCACTGAGGCCAGGTGGGGGTGTGGCAGGGAGATAGCAGGTCCCACTGGGGGAGAACAGCCTGGGGTGATCTCTGTACTGATAGGTTTTAAGCAAAGGAGGCTGTGAATTGTACTCTGTCTGCCCCTGTGATATCTGAACAGGAGGGCAGAAGCAGTATGCATTGGGGGGCAGGGGAGGGCGGGCACCGGGCTGGGGATGACACCAAGATGCTGCCTGAGGAATAGTTGGAGGAAGGTGCCAACCAAAGGCCAGGGAACCCTGGTTCTAGGTCTTGGCCAAAGAAGCCTGAGAATTCCTCTCAAACTCTTGGCTGCAGGAGGGCCCAGGGTGTTCCTAGTCAGTGATGGAGGGAACTGGCCCCTGCTGATCGCAGAGAGCCAGGCACCCTGCACTCACCTTGACCCCCACCCCCCCAGGAAGTATATGCAGGTTCCTGGAAGATTCCTGCCTGGGCTTAACTCCTCATCCCTTCCTAATGCTCTTAACCTAAAAACAAGAGGCTGCCCGGCCCTAATCCCTGAGCCTGAGGGGTGGAAGCTGTCCAGGTGGGCTGCTTTCCTTCCAGAAAGAAGGGCCAGCTGACAGGTCCCAGGACAGGGAGGCTAGAACCCCACGTCCCTCCCAGGCAGCAGGCGATGGTGATGAGCCTCCACCTGGCACCACGAGGCATGGCCTGTCTCAGGGCTGCAGCTGTCGGGCTGCTCCTGCTCGTAAGAGCACTGGCCTGCTGACTCCCTGTCCTGCTCTCACCCGCAGGGGCCCCCGAGCCTCAGCCTCCTGTCTGTGGGCACCCTGGTTCCGTGGAGGCGGCTGGCAAGATCACTGAGACAGAGATCTGCTCATTTACCTCCTTGCCAGTGGGCACTGGGCTTGAGTCAGTTGGAAAGCAACCAGCAACAGCATGGCTGTAGGGCTCCCAGTCCCACTCCCTCCCAGTGCAGCCTCTAAATGGTTGTTCAGGCAGTTGGGCCGCTGGGTTGGGCAGCCATACAAGTGGCTCAGAGCTCCTTACTTTGCTCATTAGGTTGTCATCTGGAGATGCAAATCAGCTTAGACAGACGTGGGCTCTGCCTGCTCGCCTGGCAACCTGAGCGTCCTCCTGTAACCAGAGCCCGAGAGCAGATAGCTCCGATCAGATGGGCTGCAGGAAATGGACTTTCTCCTCTCTGGGCTGTAGCTAAAGCCCAGGAGAGATGAAGGACAGCCCTGAACATGGGTGAAGAGGACAAGACTTGGGGATGGAGGGAGGAAGGAGGAAGCCCAGGGCCAGCTCACCACCTGTGCAGGCGGTTCCAGCCTCCCTCTGCCATCCCCAGGCATTGTCTGGAGGGACTGGGAGCTGCCCCAGAGGGAACCAAACAACCCCTGTCACTCTGAGCCCAGCCCCTGCCGCGTCCAGGAGACCCCAGAGGCACCCCTGCTCCCACCTGGCCTCTCATTTAGCCACCAACAGGGGAGTCGGCCGCCTGCTTGGCTGCTGTTTCCAGCAAGTCACAACCCCACTCCTTCCTGGTTTCATTTTAACAGACTTAACTGTTCCCTTGACTCACAATTCCAAGGATATTCCTAGCAAGTCAGTTCCTAGGGCCTGCTTCCCTACGTCCATGTTCTCAAGGGAGAAAATAACCTCATGTGACACACTGTCCCATCTTAGACTCCAGCTTCCTTCCCCATTTGGAGTCTGCACCAGCTCCTTTGGCAGCAGTCTAGTTTCCATCATTTCTCCCAAGGCGTTACTTCTGGTCTAGATGTCTCCATACAAGAGCTTGTCCATCTCTCTTTATAGCAGCATAAAAGCTGCCACTGTAAATGCCATAACGAGTGAAACCACCACAAGAACCTACGGGGTGGGGTGGGGGGTGGCTGATCATCGAGAGCCTCACACACCGTGGAGATGACCTCTGCACAGGGCGGTGGGGAGGGAACGGGGCACTGGCCTAGTTGGGTCAGAGAAGCCTCCATAAGGAAGCCCCAGCTTCCAGATCCTCACTTCTTGGATCTTTTCTTACCTAACACCTCAAAAGAATGCTTTTCCAATTCCAGGAGCGTCCGTGTCTCCCGAGAGCCCATTCAGAAAGCCTGGCACCTGTCTGAAAGCTCTTTCCCAGGGGCCTGTGCAGGCTGCGCGGTTCACAGGCCAGGCTCAGCCCCCCAGCTGCCTCCTCATACTGCAGACAGGGAACCGAGGCTCAGGGAAGCTACTGTACAGCCTTGGAGTGGAAGGGCAGGCCGAGCCCAGGCTTGCCTGTTTTAAAGCCAGTGGCCCACCCTGTAGAGCTGCTTGGAAAAGGTGGAGAGGAAACAGGGCCAGTGGGCCCCCCAACATACACCCCGAGTATATTTCAGAAGATGTCAGACTCCCTCTTTCCTGCAAAGGGGAGGTGATTTCTCCAGACAGCACTTCTGGGTCCTGTCCTGACCATTCTAACCCTCACACATCCATCCCACACTCTCTCCTGTCCGGCAGCATTAACCTTCCCCTCACTCCCGCCCAAAAGACCTCCTCAAAGTAAGGGAGATTCAAGGCCCGTGATTCCTCCGGAGACAGGCTAACAGCCCTGCCCTCTCCTGCGGGCCGCACTCACAGCCTGGGCCCACCTCTTTCCCACGGCCAAGCAGGGCAGCTGGCCTCGATGCTTCTCTCCACTGGACAGACGTCCCTTCCCGACCTGTGCACGTGTATATGCACACACACGCACACACACACACACACACACACGCACACGCACAAGCACACGCACAGGTGTTTGTCGTCCTGGTCTCCTATGGCTCCTCTCTGGCTCTGGACTGCATACTCGTCCCTCTCAGGGATCAGGCCCCTGCTTACCTGCAGCCTCTGACCCCCACCTCTGTTGACAGCCGCCCCATGGGGGGAGGATCGCATACATACCTCACGCCCACCAGACACGCCAGCAGCCTTTCTTCTCGGGTAGCATCAGTTCCTGCCGAAGCTCTGCTCACCGCTTTGGGGAGCCAGGGAAGTTCCTTTCCTTGAGGCTTCCTCCTCACTCGGAGACCAGAGCCAGGTTGTGTACCTGCTGGGGGAGCACCATCCACCTGACGGTCCTCAGAAAGCAGCAGAGGTGTGGTCAGTGCCAGAGAGCCTGTTCCCCACCTGACACCACAGCCCGTGCCTTGTCACGTGCACGCTGAATGCAGAACCGTGTGCACACATGATCTTGGTGAAACCTCTCAACCGCCAGGCCTCGGCTTCCTCCACCTGTCACGTGGTGAGGACACGTTTCCTCCCTTGCAGGATCACCCTGAGGGTGAACAGAGAACCCCATGTCTCGTCTGCTGGTCCCAGGCCCCATTCTAGGCACTAGAGGTACAACTATCAAGATAGACAAAGGCCTCAGGCCCCCAAGTGCCTGGTCCACAGCAGGCCCCCAGGACAACGAAAAGGATGGCAGCACCTCCCAGGTGCCCTGCAAGGTGTCCACTCCTTCTCACCCTCCCTCTCCCTCCCCACAGGGCCCACGGACCTCAGCATGAAAGGCGGGGCCTCCACCACCTCCACCACGCCCACCCCCACGCCCTCCAGCAACAGCACCAGCAGGACCATGCCCACCGCCCAGCTCAGCCCTACGGAGATCAGTGCTGTGCGGCAGCTCATCGCTGGCTACCGAGAGTCTGCCGCCTTCCTGCTGCGCTCGGCGGACGAACTGGAAAACCTCATTTTACAGCAGAACTGACCCAGCGGCACCTGGAGTGCACTACCCTCGGGAATGAGGCTGTCCCGCCCGACCCAGCTTCCTGCCTCACCAGTTGGTACATTTTGTTTTTTGCAAGAGGTGGGATCCGAGAGCTGTTTCTAGCCACACTCCAAGCACCTGAGACTTTGGGCACAAGGACACTTTTTTTTTGGAATCTCACCACACAGGTGCTCTGACCTGCTTGGAAGAGGCCAATGGGGCAGCTTTGGAAGGGCTGGGCTCCCCTGACAGGGCGCTGGGGCCACAGCTCTAGTTAGATCATCTTCGTGGACCCTGATGTTAGAATCCCACTCCCAGATAATTACCTTTCAAGTCTTAGGTGAGCAGAATTGCATATTTATTGAGAAAAACAAAGTGGACCCTTTCTTCCTCTCCCCTTAGTAATTTATTTTTTTGAAAATGGATTCTTTTGTGTTTGTACAGATTGCCAGTCTGTGTCTGTCTGATCAGAAGGATGTCTCCCTGTGCCCTAACATTCCATATCACTACACTGGCGCGGGCGGGGCCGCAGGGC